ACTGGCTATTAATATTGTTGTTGTTGTTGTTGGGTGCGGTGAGTGGATTCTAACTCACAGCAACCCTGTAGGACAGAGTCGACCTTCCCCAGGGTTCCCGAGGCTGAAATCTTTATGGGGGCAGGTCACCAGATGTTTCCCCCATGAATCCTCTGGGTGGTTTCGAACCGACAACCTTTTGGTTTAACAGCTGAGTCCTTAACCATTATGCCACTAGGGCAATTATTATTAGTTATTAATATTATCCATATCATCAGCTGGGGCCTTCCTCTGCCCACAGCTGGGACCCTACCTGGCCCTCCGTTTCCCCGCCCACGGACCCCTCCCTTGGGCCACGTCACCTCAGGCCTACAGGGTGTGTCCAGGTCCCTCGGCTCCAAGCCAGGACTCCCCAGGTGTCCCCATGGTTGCCCCTTCATCCCTGATCCCTGGCGTCCTCATGTCTGTCCATGCGTCCCACGTCTGACTGTGGTACTTTTCCACGCTGGACGGGAGCCGGCTGTCCCTGGGGTGGGGGTCACACCTGCCCACGCCCGCCCAGCTGGTGGCCACGACACCCGATGGACGGCCCCACCCTCCCCCCAGGACCCTACAACAACACCCCGCCCCTCCGGCCACCTGAGGTCCCCACTGGGGCGGCCTGAGGCCCAGGTCTGGGGACAGGAAGCCCCAGGCCTGACTACCCTTGAAAGCCTCTTTCAGGCCGGGCCTCCTCGCTGCCACCGACTCCTCCCGCAGAATAATATTTGGGCTGTTGGCCGGGGGGCGGGGGCCAGATCCGGAGGCCGCCTGGGAGAAGCCAGAAACCGCAGGGCTTCCTGCCTGGGGCTGCCCGACTCCGGGAGAGACCCCCAGGCCCGAGGGAGGGGGGCGGGCACCGGGGAGACTGAAGGCCTTTCTCTCAGCCCCAGTTGTTTTTTCCAGGAACTAGAAGGAATTCCCCAGCCTGCCCAGGACAGCAAGGCCGGTGGGACGGCTGACAGGGAGCCAGCGCGGCAGGGGGCGGGGGTGACACGCAGCCGGGGTGAGGCGGGCACTGCGACAGAAATAGAGGGCCCAGCGGCCTGCGGTGGCAGGTAGAGGCGGAAACTCAGGGAGCCGGAGAGGGAGGGAGGCCAGAGAGCCAAGGAAGGAGGGGGAGCGGGAGAGACAGTCCCCAGGGAAGGAGGGACACGGAGTCCCAGAGAGAGGGAGGGACAGTCCAAGAAAGAGACACAGAGCGACAGAGACTCAGAGGCTGAGGGCCAGGCTCACAGAGATGGAGCACCACCAAAGGAACGGGGCGGAGGCAAAGGTCAGAGAGGGACTGGGACACAGGAGGCTGAGGAGACAGACGGACACACGGAAACTGGGAGAGACAGCACACACGTCACACACAACACACACCTTCACACACAGACCACACATCACACATACAGCACACACCTCCACACAGACCACACATCACACACAGCACAC